CAGGCAGAGATGAGATGTACTCTACAGACATAATGAAAACTGAAATGACTTGTACATTAGTAATCCTCCATGTATAGAATTCTGCAAAAGTCTTGAGTCACCCCTCATTAATTTTAATATTTCCTCAGAAACTGGAAATACTGAAACATGGGCAATCATATGTGGAAATATACTCATTACTGAGTTGATGTTTGGAACTTTGCTTTCTGGGAGTTTGAGTTTGTTGGAAGTGTGGTCTTAAACTTTTGATCAGCTGTAAAACAGCCTGTTTCAGTTTACTCGCTGTTTTCAATAAATTGCATGCTCAAAAGAATGTTATGTCTCACTTCCATTTCTTCTTGTTGCATGTTGGAGCTCTACTTGGAACCTTGTTAAGATCCAACCATGCAAAATATGATTTTTCCCATTTTTCCAAGTGGTCATAAACCTTTGATTGGGACTGTAGTATGCAAGGAAAAAGCAGACTTTGTACAATTATAATGAGCTTGAAAGTTGAGATTTTGTATAATTATCTTTATTCTTAAGCACAGTCTGAACCCTCTAAGCCAAACCTTCTTGTAATTCTTTTTAAGTAGTCTTCAGGAATCGTTCTCCAGGTTTCTTGAAGGACATTCAAAGCTCTTCTTTGGAGTTTATTGCCTTTTTCTCTAGAGTCCAGACCTCAATGATGTTGAGGTCTGGACTCTGGGGAGGCCAATCCATGACTGATAGTGTCAGTCTATAGTGTCAGTCTTTTCCTTCATCAGGATGGCTTCTTGACATGCATCATTTCGGGTCCTGTGTAAGGCCTTTGCTGGATGTTTTCATATTTTCTATGGTCATGACTTCAGATGTTCTTCTGTTGTAGATATTGTTTTTTAAAATCCTGCCACTGCAGTCTGAAGAAAAAACTTTGAAAGACCTTCAAAGCATAATTTTTTCTGATAATTCTCTGTTTCTTTCCTTTTAGAAATATTTTGTCTATTTTCTTATTACTAATTTTCTGTTCATGCTTTCTCATAATGGTATCAGCCTATTAAGATATTAATACACACAAAAACATCGTCATCAGTGTGATCCAGTACCATGTGCCAACATTGGCAGCAAGAAACTTGAATGCACTGCGAAGCAGAAGTTGGAAAAGGAACAAAAACAACAAAAGAAGGATGAAAGATGTGTTTCTACTTTCTACTTAGAAACAACTGTAAATATTGCTGAGGCCAGAGCCAACATTCACTAGCTGCTACCCACCCCAAGCCAACAGCACAAAAAGAAAAAGCTAGGAAATGCAGTTGCTGGCCTTTCACAGCTGTCTTCAGAAATTATACGTTTGGAGTGTGCAGTAGTCTCAGTGCATGACGCTTGAGAGTGACAACTGCAGACTTACAAAAGAGCTGAAACGAACTTCTGCTGTAAAGACCAGGCCAGTGGGAAAATAACAATAACATGTAAACAGTTTTGCTTCGTTTACATGTGAATGCAAATCTCATTCAATTTTCACGTCAATGTTATTTATATTGTGCCAAATCACAACAACAGCTGACTTAAGGAGCTTTATATTGTAAAAAGCAAAGACCCTACAATAACAGAGAGAAAACCCCACAGTCACACTACCCTGTATGAGCAAGCTATTGGCGACAGTGGGAAAGAAAAACTCCTGTGGCAGAACCAGGCTCTGGGAGGGACAGCCAGTTGGGGTTGAGGGGAGGAAGATGGGACAAAAGACACGCTGTGGAAGAGCTACAGATAAATAATAACTTGCATTTAAATGCATAGTAATTGAAAACAGGTGGCCCAGCATCCTAGGCCTATTGCAGCGTAACTATGGGGGGATTCAGGGTCACCTGATTTATCCCTACCTATAATCTTTATCAAAAAGAAAAAGCTTAATCTAAACAGTAGAAATCCAAACCCAATTCAAGTAGAAAGAGTGGCTGAGGGTCAACTAACTGACCAAGAGCTCTGACTGAATATCAGCTTGTCCTTCTGTTCCTCATAGGAAATGCCTTCCAGAGGGGGAGGGAAAGCACAAAATGAAAAATAGCAACAGGAATGACTTCATACTCAAGTTCACAGTCACTTCAATTCGCCTGGTGAACTTACCCCAGCAGAACGAAACCTGAATATGACAACACCCAATTTCCTCTTGTCCTCCCACATACCCCAGCTTAATTGTAGACTAGATCCACCCCGCTTAACGTTTCTGGCCCTCGTAAGCCAACCAAAGTCCGCTTTTATAAAGCTTTCATTAGCTGCCGATTACCGTCAGTGCCTGCTGGGGCTGGTAGGCTTTGGCCTTCATTAACAGGCCTGAGTCATACAAATGACTGTATGAGCCTGTGTGCACTATGTTCAGACAGCCAACATCCCACTGAAGAAGAGATAAGTATTTATTTGATGTGTGCTCTATTCTACTCTGCCCCAGTCCATTTTGTTTTCGTTCAATTCTTCCAAAAAGCGTAGGCTGCAAGTGTCAAGTGAAATGTCGCAGCAACAAAATCCCCTGACAGCATGTCATGCTTTTGTCTGATACCAAATGGTAGTTTTTGTGTTCTGCCTCATTCCATGGGCGATAATTCTTTGAAAAAAATAATTCACTGCCACACTGATGACATCTCTGCTTGATGCCCTGCAATCCACTCTAAACTGCCTGGCAATGTTCATTTCTTTACTAACTGCAGACTCTCTGAGAAAGCAGCATGTAAGCAAAGACGGGTAGCAAATTAAAGGAAAATTTAAAAAAAAAAAAAAAGACGTCTGCCCGCACTGCAAATCAGTACCAAGTTGTCAGTGACCACCTTCATTATGTGATGAAGCACATCCTTCCTAATGAGAACATTTTTTTCCAGGATGTAACGCCTTTGTTCACAGGACATAATGGGTCAATGAATGGTTTGACAACGATGATCATCTTTTGACCAACATGTTCAACAGCGCTCTATAGGACCATCAAAGCACCACATTACACAAGGTCTTAGAAGGCTGGTGGGTCCATCCCTCCAGCAGTGTCCTAAAGGCTTGGAAAATCAATACCAAGACACCAGTACGCTGGCCCAATGCTTTAAAACTTTATTTTGTCAGTAACGTTATTTATTTTAAAATCACCTTCTTGAATCTTCTACATTATGTTGAGCTGTATTTGTGTCATACTGCACAGTAGGAGAAGAGCAGCTCGATTTGCCAAAAGCATGGAGAGCTTTTTCTTTTTCCTTTTTAAATAGTCCAAGCATCTGCGTCTCCTCTCACCCCGAGATATAACTCCATCTCTCTAGCATAACACATGCTAATGGACCATAATGCAACTAATGGGCTGCATCAACCACACTAATACAGACACTTATGTTAACATTATGATGAATAGAAAAGAAAAGCCCGATGGAGCAAAAGGCTGCACAGGTTTTGTCTCAGCAGGAGCGGGAGCAGCAAACAAGAGATTTAAAGCAACAGGATACTAAATTGAATGCTTTGACCAAGGAAGAGGGAAATGTGCCACTTTTTTTTAAAAATTGTGTTGTGTTGTTTCCCCCAACAGGACACATTTACCTGAACCTACACTTGTTCTGCATTTTTTTTTTTTCAGGAGTAGCGGTGAGGAAAGGACCCAAGTGTAGAATATCAACGACAAAAAAAACAATTCCAAAAGGATGAACAGAGTCCAAAGAAACACACACACTACCGAAAATACAAAGCAACAAAAAAAAAAAAAAGATCCACAAAAAAGGTTAATCACAGGACCGCAAACAGAGAGGCGACGCACAGGACTATATGTACACAGAGCACTAATTAGGGAACAGGACACAGACGAGGGCGAAACAGAGGAGGAAGCAATTAGCAGGTGAAAACACTCAGGGAATCAGGGAAAGAAACAGACAGGAAGTAAAAAGTACGACAAGCACACTAAGAAAAGTAATTAGCAAAACAAACTGCGAGGTGAAGACACAAACACAGAGGGATCAAAGACAGGGGGGCACTGGAAGAAGTAAAATATTCAAATTACAACAGGAACCAAAAGACTTATATTACAATATTACAGAAACTCAGTGATACTTATTGACTAATACACACATGAGAACATTCTTATCCTGCACAAAAAGCAAGTGCATATGTAAAGCTACCATTCGGTTTATGAAATATGCACACCGGCATATTTTCTTCTTTCCACTGTGCACATGTTAATAAATCAGAATCAGTTCAAACCAAGAGGCTTGTGCAATCTCCTTACAATCAGCCATCTGCATTACTGTCCAGCCCCCATTTTTCTATACAAGGAAACATGTTTATATCCACGTGAAGCTGAGCAAGTGGTGATGAGAGATGTTGTAAGAGAGAAGCCTGCACTGGACTTTAAAAACTGATACAATCGTGTACAATGAGGAAGCCAAAACAGGCACAGTTTTTTAAAGAGTCTCCATAGGAATGATGAAAAAAAGTGAAAATGCGTTCAGGCTGACATAACAGAGGTTCTGAATATTGCTTCCCCTGTGCTTCTAAAAAGTGAAACAAGTGAAAAACAAGTTTGCTCATTGAAGCTGACATGTAAAAAAGACTACATGAAAAAGAAGAAGACGGGTAGAGCACATAATCTGTCAGCCCGAGATGAAAACTTCTTCTAGAGCATCAGTGGAATAGTGCCATGAAATCAGACTGTAAGTGATGATGTCCATGTTCCAATTTTTAATGAAAAACAAGATCAATTTAAAGGTTAAGACCTACACCTTTCCATTTAGTATTTTGTTTTCTTTCACCCTTCTTTTGTTCGTAGAAATATAATTTAATTGTTCTTGTAGGCAAAAGCTTGTCACTGGATGAAACGGTCAGGAGGTGCTTGTCTTCACACAGTGAGCAAACTCCTGGGCTAAATGTTACCTACCTGTATTATTAAAACTGGTTGCTACTACCGATCAGAAAATGTTGTAAAGAAATCGAATTAATAACAAGAACTTTCCACATTTCTTCTTAAATAAAAAAAAGTCTGTGTTTCAAACAGCACACACAGTTTCTTGTTTCCTGACAGTCCTTACCTTGCAGAGCCTCCTTGGCTCGATCCAGCTCCTGTTCCTTCTGCGCCAGCTGCACACGGAGTTCAGTGGCAGAGAGCACGTCAGCCGAGCAACCTCCCTGGGTCTCCTCCAGGTCCTTATTCAACATGTCCTTCATCTGCCGCAGCAGGTGCACCTCTTCCTGGAGCTGGGCCACCTCTTCACGCAGCAGAACTGCAATTTGCAGAAAAGGAAGAGAGCTTTAGCAGGCCCGCACCACAACGTTGCCCAAATTAGTGCAATTGTGAATCGCTGCACAGTTTTAACAGTGAATATGCATTTAAGCCAAAATAAAAGTGTTACTTCAGCAGAGAGAGAAGGGTCACATGCTTGCTGGAATTGGGTCTTGCATCGGCTTTGAACAGCTACATGACTGCAGAAATTGTTGTGTGTGAAATGCTAAACTGATTTAACATCACCACGGGAGGCTGCGGTTTTATTTGTTATTGAGATAACTGCAGAGCCAAATTACTGACAGTAATAAGCATCACAGAGATAGGTGCGGTCCATCAGATGAGTAGAGACAAGGCACTGATTGTGTAATGAAATTTGTCTTTGAAGTCGTCTGTTGAACCTTCTCTGTGTTGACAGGATTGACGAGTAAAGGCGAGAGGAGTACTCATTTAATATTCATTGAATGGTGCTTTAAAGTACTCCTCCCTGTCGTTGTGACAAAGACGAAAAACGACAAAATGAAAAACAACAGCACAGACTATTGTTTTTTGTTTTTTTGTTGTTTTTTTCCCTCGCAATTTGACTCGGGGTAAAAATTTTTAAAGTGCTTTCAAAGCACCAGCAGCAGTGAGAGGATTTCGCTCCCTTTTAAAAACAAGCCACAACAGACAAATGTCACACTTCAATTTTTCACATTAAAACGAAAAAATAAAATCCAAAATTGTGATTCTTGGCACACTGAACGCGGGTGTCTAGGTGGAGCATATGGAGCGTCATTTATAGTCGGATGAGTAGAGTCATTCTGCTTAATTTCATGCATCCTCGGGGCAAAGGGGGAGGGTGGGGGTGAGGGGAACTGCTTTACCCCATCTCGTGCAGTTCCAGTACCAAGTGCCATGCATAAATCACACTTCATACTCTGAGACTCCAGCTCCAACTCACACTGAAAAAATAAAATCTGAGATGAATGGGACAACTAAGGATGACAAATGTCCTCTGTATTTCCTGGTCATTGTTGCACATTTGAACCAAGAATTTCAAAGATGTAATAAGTGATGCTTTTCTAAATTTAAACAGCATTACAAAAAAAAAGAGAAAAAAGAACTGCATTCAGTCAAGGTTAGGATTTCTGGTCATGTAAAATTTGAACGTGGAGAAGATGATTGCAAGTCCCTTAATCAGAACCTAATCAGAAGTTTCCATGTGGAAGCAAGGCAACTGTCTGTTATCTAAAGAACATGCTTCTATAATCTTGTTACAGACAATAGCTCTAAATCACTAGATGCACAGTAACAGCACTCTGCACAATGCGCTTTTAAACTGTCTTTTTTTAAGGCATTTAGGCCTGTTTGTCATAGCATTTTATATTGTTTTAAAGCATTTTAAATTCTCATGGTATTTTCATCTCTTAAGTAGACTGTTTTATACTTTATGTACTTAAATTAATTGAGCATGTGTGCGGTGCGACTTTCTTTCATTCAACTTCAAACCCTGTTTGGACCGGATCAATTAAATTAGGTGGTATATTATATATACTATATATATATGTACCTATGTTTGAAATTACAGAAGTGATTGCTTGAGAGACAACAAATTTTGTTATATGTGTCACATCCACGGACAGTAACATTATTACAAACACAATGCAATGCCTCCAAATAAAACCATACTGCGTTTAAATGCTGCCATAGTGATTCCTGACATCAATTATTTATTTTCATTTACGTTTTTGTGATTAATGCACTCCATCCATCCATTCGCTTCCGCTTATCCTTTTCAAGGTTGCTGGTGTTAAACTGCATCATCCCCTTCTGCACCCATACCTATGACTGATTTCTTACATAAGGACACTAGAGACCTTCAAGACTACAATAAACTATGACAACAAACCATAAGAGAGGATATGTGAGCCTTGCTCCGATACATTTTCGCGCAGCATGGATCACTTTAGGTCCCATCTTGCCTCCCCTGAAACTACAATTAGTCCCACTGCTTTGCCCGTATGACATGTACCTGCTTCCCAGGCCTTTTGACTCCATTAATTTGATCACTGGCAAAATGTAAAGTGGCTGAGGATAAGTGCTGCCCGCTAAATAACGAAAATGAAATGTAAAAGGGGTTATTAGGAGAAGGGTCGAGAGAGAAACGTTGGCGAGTGGAGTGTCATTACACAGAGGTATACTTAATGGACCTGATAATAGAACCACATTTTACGGAGCAACTCAAGCAGCAACACCCTTATTGGCAATCCGAGAACTGTCCCGTTCTGGAAACAGCCGAGCGCAAGATACAGTTCATGAGTTTTTAAAAATCCTATAATAGCCACAGACTCAGTTTAATTTCTTATTCATTAAGTTTGCATGTATTGATTGTGCAAAGGCAGCAACACAAGGAGTTCTATATAATGGGCAAGTATATTGAAATTGTGTGTTCAGTCTCCAATAACCAACCCATAAATACAGATCAACATTCTAATATCTAATTCAATCATAGTTATACATTATAGATGGCATCTGAGGATTAATATAGTTTATATGTATTTTTTGACTGTAAATAAATATGTTTTTATAAATGGGAAATTTATGTATACTACTCAAAATAGAAAAAAAATGTGTTTTAAACAGATGTTATGGAACAACATTGTAATGTAGGCATAAACAAGATGTTTAATATGAGGTATAGCCTCTTCTGGACATGATGCAAGCAGTCACCCATCTGTGTATGGACTGAACAAGTATCCAGATCTGCTGTTGCTCAATTGCTCAACAACAGATTTGAGTGCAGCCTGCAGCTGCAGTGCAGTAGTCATTGATGGTGGCATCTGATGATCACGTCGACCCAGGATTTCCCCGGCACGTTCAATTGGAGACATACTGGGACTAAATCCTAGCCAAGGAAGTCTGGATATACTCCTAGTTTAGAAATGTCTGTGCTACTCTGGCAGCAAGAAGGGTCCATGTTGGAGCACCTCATGACCATTCAACTCAGAGATAGCCCTCTTATGGACATAGAAGGCTGGGGCTACAGTTCATATAGGCATATAGGCAAGTTGTGCATACACTGTTTTTTGTGTTCAGTAAACAAATCACTAGTTTTCTAAGAGATTACAATGATTTACTGAGAAGCAAAGACTGAAAAAAATATTTCTCGACATAAAACTTATTTCTTTTCTTCCCAGCGCAACATGGAGCTTACACAAATATAGAACAATATAGCTCTCACTCTGACTTTATGAGGTTAAAAACATGTATAGACGTGTGCACTGTATTCGAGCATTCACAATTCCCTATCTTACGCTTAGAGTTGTCATGCTCTAAATTTACACCGTTAGGTTTTAATTTCTATTTTTAAGCAATGTGTTTTTAATGTATTATGTAAAATATTCACCTATACATATGAATACCTTTTGCTTGCCTTACTGAAATCCATGACTGGAATTATTTTCTGTGTGTCCATTATAAAAAACAAACTATAAGCACGTGCAATCCTGCAGTACTTTGAGTTTACAGCTACATTCTTTTATGTTAGTTAAAATATAATTTGTTGTATATACTATACTTAGCAAGAAGAAGAGAAGAGTGTTGAGTGGTTTACACAGGTATAAATGAGAAAGACTGAGTCTACATTCTACTGCTAATTTGAATTTGGTGAGTTAATAAATCATCATGACATTAAAAAAATACAACAATGGTTACCACCAAAAGGGCGCTTAACATAAAGAGCGTAACAGATATGTTATTGTCTAACCCTGCACTCTGGAGGCAAGCTCAGTGTGGAGTGGAGCACTCCAGATATGACAGGGTTTGAGTGTGGGGGGCAGGATGTGGTGGGGCGAAGACTATCACCTATTTTTCAGTGTCCACATAGCCTCTAGGTTAGCAAAAGGGATCAGGGTAGCGCCGCATTACAATGACAGAGTGGGAGCTTCCTGATAAGTCGTATCTTTTCTGCTCACCACTTCAGGACCCCATACAGCTCTAGGTCCTGCCTGGAAGAGGTGCCAACTTCTATCTCAGGGAAAATGTGATGCCCACAATTTACAGTGTTTATGTATGTGTAAATTTAAATAATTGGGGTATTTTAATAAATACTTTTTAATAAAACTTTAGTAACTTTTTTTATATTGTACAAATACATTTGAAAATACTGCATACTTAATTTCTTGAAGTGATTTCAGTGGGCAAATGAAGTGTTTTAAAAAGCATTTAATATGATTTATAGATTGTTTAATAGAAAAGAAATAGCTATTTTTCTTATACAGCTTATTAAAAAAATGTGACCCTCAGCAAGTCCACAGCATTGTGGAGTGTAGTGACCCTGAATCAGAAACAACATGATTACGAGTCTGGGGTTTTCAAATCATGTCAATTACATCATCCCACTTAGCAGCATTCACAGTCACATGAAGATATCGCGCACAAAGCTGCACTGCCACACAACTGTCAACAAAAACCTTCTGGCCTTAATTACTTCTCTTCTCAAGCAGGAACAAAGACATACAAACTAAAAACAATGATTCTGTCAGTATGTAGGAGTGTAAGCACAAAAACAGTTTGGCAACACAGAGTTGTTTATTTGAGTTTGGATTGGCGTGACTGTTCCCATCACTGTGACGAAGGACAGCCTCCTGAGATCGACTAAATTGGCTGTTGAGTATCTAATCAGAACGCTGCCCTGCTGGCAGTTGATGTGCAACAGGAGTGGAAAGGGAAGGCTGATGAAGAACTGTAATCAGAGTTTGCTGTGTGGGTTTTTTATGTATATTACCAGAGGAAATTTTTAGAACACCCCAATTCTTCCAGTTCTTATTGAATTTCAGTTCGAGTCCAATGAATAGCTTGAAATGGTACAAAGGTAAGTGGGGGATTGCCAGAGGTTAAAAAAAAGGTAAGGTTACACAAATCTTTAAAAAAAATGTACATTTCAGAATTATTCAAAGAGGCAGTTTTCAGGGAACAAGAAATGCATTAACAACTTAAGCTGTTCTGCAGCAACGCAGG